GGATGTTATGTCATCGTGCGCAGAACGAAAGACGACCTGGCGCAGGCTTTCCGGCACCACTAGAAGCAACGGGAGGCCATCGGCTGAATAGTTTCTTTTATACAGCAAGCCGTTTGAAATATTAAAGTGCTTGTCGACGGAGTTATGTGCAGTTTCGAGCAAGGGTTTCAGAGTAGGGTCGCGCTGCTGCTCACGTTTGAAGCTGCTGGTATCTGGGAAGTCGGACGAGACAAAAACTAAATAGTCATCAATGTAATTGTCGTCAGCATTGGTGTGTACTGAAGGAAGGCGGGATAAGCAGTCGGCATCTGTGTGACATCGTCTGCTCTTATAGGAAACAGAAAAGCTGTACTCTTGGAGACGCAACACCCAACGAGCCAGCCGGCCAGACGGGTCACAAAGTCCCACAAGCCAGCATAGTGAGTGGTGATCGGTCACTATTGTGAACTCGCGGCCATTTAGATACGGTTGGAACTTCTGAATGGCGAAGACGACTGCTAAGCACTCGAGCTCAGTGACGGTGTAGTTCGTCTCTGCTCGGGTCAGTGTCCGACTGGCATATGCTACGACGTGCTGGCGGCTGTTGCAGAGTTGGACCAGCAGAGCACCAACACCTAGCCCATTAGCATCAGTATGAAGTTCAGTCAAAGCATCAGGACCAAAATGCTTTAGGATGGGTCCTGAAGTCAATAAAAATTTTAGCTGTTGAAATGCAGCCTCACATTTATCATCCCACAAGTACGGTGTGTCTTTATGAAGAAGGGACGTCAGTGGGGAGGCAAGTTGTGCGAAGTTCTTAATAAATCGGCGGAAATATGAGCACAGACCCAGAAAACTTCGCAGGTCCTTCACTGTTCATGGTGGTTCAAAGTTGCGAACCACTGCGGTCTTCTGTGGGTCTGGTCGCACGCCTTCTTTATCCACGAGAAAGCCTAATACGAGGGCTTGACGTTCTCCAAAATGACACTTCTTTGAGTTTAAAACAAGGCCAGCTTCGCGTAAGCATTCAAACACAAGCGACAAGCGGTGGTTATGCTCTTGAAAAGTCTTGCCGTAGATAATCACGTCATCTAAATAGCACATGCAAATTTCCCATTTTAGTCCACGGAGTACTGTATCCATAAATCTCTCGAATGTCGCTGGAGCATTGCACAAACCAAAGGTCATAACGTTGAACTCAAAGAGACCGTCTGGTGTTACGAAGGCCGTCTTCTCTTTATCTGAGGGATGCATAGGAATTTGCCAATACCCAGAACGCAAGTCAACAGAAGAAAAATAGGAGGCAGAATGCAGGCAGTCCACGGCGCATTCTATACGTGGCAAAGGGTAGACGTCTTTTTTTGTGATGGCATTTAGGTGACGATAGTCTACGCAGAATCTCCATGACTTTTTCCTCACTAGAATGACAGGAACTGCCCATGGACTACACGATTCTTGTATGACGCCCTTCTTTAGCATGTCTTCAACTTGTTCAGCGATGATTTTCCTTTCGGAAGGCGATACACGATAGGGCTTCTGGCGTATTGGTGGTGCTTGGCCTGTATAGATGCGGTGTTGCGTACGTGAAGACGGTGGCGTAACGGTAGATGTCTCGTATTGGGCAAAGTCAAAGACTGAGGCGTAGCGTGCGATCACCTCCTGCAGCAGCGACCGTTCAGTTGATGGAAGTGACTTGTTAATCATACGGTCAATTCTGGCAGAATAGTCGAGGTATGAGTTGGCGTGGTGTTTCTTTACATCCACCAACAGTTGGAGTGACCGTATGGTAAGAGTACTTTGCTCTTGAAAGCTTGCAGGCAGATATATGGGCTGCGCGGAAACGTTCACAGTCCACAAATCGGCACAACCATCGACGGTGAGCACGAGGCAACGAGGCACAATAACGTTTTTCTTAAGTGCATTACTGAAGTTCGGCTCGGCTAAACCGTAGTAAGAACCCGCACAAGAACGCGAGGAGTTTACACGCACAAACATTGCGGTATGTGGGGCCAAGCAGACGTCTTCAGACACGGAAAACACTTCCAAGCAGTCATCAACGGTATCCTTCGTCAATGAAGACGGCAACACGGGACGAAAAATAATCCCACCACTACCACAATCTAGAGTTGCACCACATTCCCGCAAAAAATCTATACCTAGAATGACGTCGTGGGTTGCTCGTGCAAGCACCGTTAGTTCAGCTCGAAACGTTTAATTTCCTACAGAAAGTAAAACAGAACAAACTTCAACCGGGCTCAAGGTTTCTCCCCCTACGCTACGGAACGTAGCACTCCGATTCCAAGCAAACATTACTTTCGTCCCAAGGCGATTTTTAAAAGACATGCTCATTATGGAAACGGCAGCACCGGTATCAACTAGTGCAACAGTACTCACATTGTCTACAAAAACACTCACTTTGTTCTCAACCATTACAACACAAGAGGGTCTTACGGAAGATGATTTTGCGGCCTCGCCCCCTTTGGTCGCACCAGTTAGTTTCCCAGTGGTGGTGGCGTCCCCGAGCGGCGAGGCGGAGACGGGGATCGCTGTTGGCGTGCGGGTGGTGGGGTAATGCTGCGGTCGGAGCAAGGCGAGTCAGCACGTGCTGCGTGTTGCTGTTGGAAAGAGCCTTGAAATGGTCGAGACTCGCCAGCAGGTACATAGGGCGTGTACACATTGAATCTTGGAGCTCGCTGCTGGCGACCGTAGCAGTACCTAGCGATGTGTCCAGGTAGCCCGCAGTTGCAGCAAGTACGGGTGTCGCGTCTAGTCGTCCCCGGCGAAGTAAACCTCATCGGTTGATAAAAGTTGGGCGATGGTAGTCGAGGAGTAAATCGCTGTGACGCAGCTTGCGCATCCGAGGTACCAGTGGTTCACGGGGCCGTTGGTCGAATGCACACTGATGGCAGACACCAGCGGTGTCCACAGCTTGCAGTTGAGCAAGTTCTTCCTTAACCACTCGTCTTATAAGAGAAGAGATGTCGTCCTGCGATGGAAGGTTGACACTTGCAATCGTGGGCACATTCTCAAGACGTCCAAATTTCGGTAGGACTCTCCTCCTCTTTAGCGCTTCAAACGCTCGGCAGTGTCTCCTTAGGTCGGAAAATGTGTGTAAGTCTTCCTTAGTGATAAGGAAATTGTACATGTCTTCCGCGATTCCCTTGAGCAGATGACGTACCTTATCTTCGTCACACATGGTCGCACTCACGATTCCGCAAAGCTTCAAGACGGCCTCGACGTAGGTGGTGCATGTTTCGCCAGGTAACTGAGCTCTGCGTGAAAGCATTTGCTCCGCCTGCTTGACCTTAGCTGTTGAGTCACCAAAACACCTCTTCAGCTCGTCCACGAAAATGTCCCATGTGGTCAATGCACTCTCATGGTTGTCGAACCAAAGAGACGCGGTGCCGACGAGAAAAAACACCACGTTCTCGAGCTGCTTAGCAGTGCTCCAGCGGTTGCTGCAACTCACTCTTTGATAGTGCTTGAGCCAGTCGTCAACATCGTCATCCGGCTGCCCCGAAAAGGTCCTCGGCTGACGTTCCGGCATGCCGCAGCGATCTTGTCCTGGCGGGTGAGCGTGTTGCTCATCAGCAACGAGGTTGTTATGGCCTGCTCCCGCGTCCTCCATGTGAGGTAGCTGCGGTGGTAAGCCTGCCAAGCGTCTGCTCCGTCGCAAAATCGGTAGAGCTGGGTCGTCCAGATCGATGTACCCATCACCTTCCACCAAACTGTTACGAGTGACTGTGTTTATTTACAGATGAGGTGAAATGGCGTTGTGAAATAGCAGCGTACTTCTGAGACAGGCCTAGAACGCTTCCACCCAACCACACAGTCCAGGCGCCGCTCCACTACTCTTCTTCTTCTTCCGCGCCCCATAGGCTTGCGCATCTTCGTTTCAATATGTAAGGGGTGTAATGTAAAGCTTTACTGACTTGTATATGCATCAGAAAAGGCTCAGTTTTAAAGGAATACAAATCGCATGTACGTACGGGCCACACATCTATGTTCGTTGAACAGGATGTAGAACTGTGTTAATTGCACGCATCATTGTGGATGCTGTCCCGTAACCGAGAAAGCTGAAGCACCAATGTGTCCCCTACACAGTACAATAATGGGTCGACAGAGCTTTAGTTAATGAACTAGGAAGTCCGCAAATGTGCGGACTTCCTAGCGCCTACAAACAACCAGCTACAGCGGAGCCACTGACAGCTCTGCTACAATGGAGCTAGTAGGAACATCTTGTGGCATTCTGCCCAAGAACAATATATTATAGCTTTATTTTTCAGTAGTGTCACTGTGAGTTGATTATCTCACTCTCGCAACTTTACACAGTCAGTAAAGTGCGCAGGTCGCTGCAGTGATAGCTTGGGGCTCTTCTGGTAAAGCTCTGCATTATCAAGTAATGCTACCAGTGTTGTTTATCTCGTTTCCATTAAACCAGACAAAACACATGTCCTATGTCATCTGCAAAACAGACCCATGTGATGCCTATATTGCTAGGTGCATTACTTTCTGATTCAGCACTTGCACGAACTTCAGAACTCAATGAAAGTACACTTTAGGCCACATATGAGGCTCATATTGTACAGGTGACAACTATTACCTCCCAGCAGTGCAATGTAATAGTCACACTGTGTTCGAATTTGTGTCAATTAAGACTCCTTTAAAATGTTTTACACTTGTCTGACCTCATGTTTTCTGTAAGCACACCTTTCTACTCACAACAGATCTGGGGCGATGCAATACTTTTGCAGCTGAAGGCGTGTCACATCTCACTGTAGGGATCCGCTAGTGCTTACAGACAACAGGGAGCAACAGATTTTGCCTGGCCAAGCAGGCTCCGAGTATTCAGAGAGACATCTTTGCTGCTGAATCACCATGCCCCACATGCGTACTTTTGTACATTTTCTGTAGGTTTGTGTACCCTTGCTTTGTCTGCACTCTCTAACACCTGCTCTTTAATGTCAGCTGGAATAAAGTATTCGGGTGTGGGTGTGACGACAAGAATCCCGTCTGCCCACCTTCTTCTGCCGGATGTTTGTGGGCGCCATGTCCTTGAAGAAGTCCAAGTCGTCATCGCTCTGCGAGTCCCGCCTCTGGTCCCCGGAACCACGACTGCCGGGGCCTGACGGCCGTCCACTCGCGGGGCCATTGGCAGCCGAAGCGTGCCTCTGGGAACCCTGGTTCCCCGAAGAGTCTACTTGCACTGACACCGGCCCATTTTCTTCGTTCCACGAGTCCCAACTTTGGAGATCGTCCGTCAGCTGCTGTATGGTGCATGGCTGCGTACAAGGGCAAACGCACATCAATACCCACAAGCAATGATAGCGCTGTCTAAGAGTCTGTCCTCTCTGAAGTGTTTGCTAGCTCTCAATTTATCAAGTCTTTATGTGGGTGATTTATAGTGTCTTCCTGCGTTGGTGAATTGAAAATGGCGTGTAAACTCAACGGTAATTTCATTTCCGAGAGGCTGTAGTAAAATGAATGCCTACAAAATTACGCACTATGTAGACACTCCAGTATGGTTTCTATGAATATGCAACAAAATACCTGCGATTCGCAATTTAACTGTGCACTGACTATTTTGCTCAACTTCAACTTTTCGATCGATAATGCAGTGAAATGATCGTCAACGAAATAAACTACGAGTGCTGCAATACAATGTGTGTGTGTGTGTGTGTGCGCGTGTGTGTGTGTGTGTGTGTGAATATGCTACAAACACATCTCTGACTTGAAAGCTAACGCTACAGTGATTTTTATCGTAGAAATTCTCGCTGTAATTTAGACAAAGCGCTGCATCGCGGAGCAAGAAACTAACCGCTGCATTCATGACAACTAAAATTCGCCAAATCGCGATATAAGGCAAGGCGTTCCACCTCGGGCATGGCGTGTTTCACCGCGCCCGCACGCAAGATCGTAACGATTCTGTCGCTACAACATAGCGATTAATTATATGGAGCTGCGCTACCGCTGTGCATAAAAACGAGTCGCGAGACGACCGCACGTGGTTGCGGGGATGATACTGGCGCTAACAGGTTTGTAAGTAGATCACACAGTAAACAGGCGCTCAAGTTGCGACGAACGCTGGTCCAAAAAGTCGCTTTAGAACTTACCTCGGTCCCGTGAGCCGTCAGGTAGACTGGTAGGCCGACGTCAGATGCCCTGCGGCGCTTTCGGAAGCAGCACATTGCACGGCGAAGGACGCCGAAAAATCCCAGCACCAACTTCCACACCTTGGTAACGAGCGCCCTGGCAAAGTTCACCATTGCTGAACGCGCACGTTCACGGAGTCGCCGTTGCTACAGGTGACGATTTTGTAGTAATACCGACGCGGAACAGGTGGTAACGGGAAGAAGGCCAGTGGTTGCGGCTATGCACCAAACTGTAAACACTGTGGTCGGATTCGCGGCTTCGTGGATCACGTTGGAAACGGTCATCGCGATGTGCCTGCGCCAACACACGCCGCTGGAGCACTGCAGAACGAGGTACGGAATATATGGACGTGCCAAAGCGACTGTGGGCCTTTTTTGAACAGAGAACACTGATTAACGCGGAAGGGCACTTTCGCTTCTTTTCCGTTTTCGGCTAGGGCCAGCCACAACCAACAAGAGGAACCGAACAGCTGCCGATAAGGAAATGGAACCACCTGATCGAGCTGCCATCTACACAAAACGTGACCCTGTTTTGCGGTGATAGGAGACGGTAAAGTATTTCAAATAAATAATTTCAAACGATCGTTTATCAAGGATTGTCTGTGTGTGCACAATCTTCCATTCCCTCAAAACAAACACCACGTAAAGCTGTTCCATATGGATTTATACCACTTTATGCTCACTCGACATTCGTGTCAGGATGGCCGAGCGGTCTAAGGCGCCAGACTCAAGGTTGTTTGCCTTGCCTGCATTGCAGGTTGTGCGAGACTTCTGGTCCACGAGTGTGGGCGTGGGTTCGAATCCCACTTCTGACACAAATTTTTTTTAGTTATTTTATTTAAATCATTTTGAAAAGTGGCCACATTTACCAGCACGAATTACATTACGCTACCACAATGTTGGTTTTGTCCAGCGCCTTTGACCATGTGCGGTACTACAAACTAATTAATATTAATTAAATCACGAGGTTTTACGTGCCGAAAACAGTGATATCGTCATAAGGCACGTCGAGGCTGCTTGTCAAAGTGCGAGAAGCCTTACTAGGGGCGGCGCCAGGGTTGGTCACGGGGGACTGGAGCCCCCCACCCCCCCAATTATCGCCCCCCCCCTTAAAAGGAACATAGTCCTAACGAAATCGATAGGTTCCCCGCCCCCTCGCAATTATTATTATTATTATTATTATTATTATTATTATTATTATTATTATTATTATTATTATTATTATTATTATTATTATTATTATTATTATTATTATTGCATATTTCGTCTTTTAAGCGAGAAGGAGTAGCTTGTGCTACCATATATTATGGCACCAACCTCTCCTATTCATCACTTCAATAAAAAAGCACGTCCTGCGGATAGCGGATGAGCTTCTCAGTCACACATTGTATTCATGCGGGGACAAGTAATCTTCGAACGACCTCAATGTCAACGAATACACTGCCGCAAAAATGTACCGAGTTCTTGAAGAGTGAGTGGCGTTACATGGGCTTCTCGCGCGAATTAAGCAGTTGCTTTCTTCTTTCATTCCGACGAGCGTGCTGGAAGAGGAAATGATATGACACAGGGCAAATGAGTTGCGCTAGCGCACGTCATGACCTTGAGCGTACGTAATGGAGTATGCTCTTTAGTTGAAGTACAGATGAGAGTAGGGGTCTAATGGAATCTCCTCAAGCAATTACTTGATGAGTCACAGTCCGAGGGAAACCAGAGAATGGCTAGACAGATTCGTTCACAGCCAAATGGCGAAAAAGGTGTCCGAAATGGCCCTCCTGCAGACGTTAGCGGACAGCTACCTTCTGCAGGGCCCTTCAGGAGATGCAGACTATCCGCGTTATTGCGGTAGAATGGCGGAGGAGCTGGACGCACCTTTCACCAAGCGAGATATTTGTGAGTTGCTACACGGGCTCAGCGAACGCTCTACACCGGGCCTGGATGGAATCTCAAATAAGCTTTTACGTAACTTGGACGGCAAATCCATTGAAAAACTGACCGAGGAAGTCAACAAAATCTGGGAGACGGGGTTCGTTCTCAAATCCTGGAAGACAATTTCGGTCGTGCTCATCCCTAAGCCAGGCAAACCTCTAGCGCCGGACAACATGCGGCCTATCTCGCTTACGTCCTGCGTGAGCAAAGTGGCCGAACATGCTATTCATTGTCGGGTAGCTCAATACATCGAAAGCAAAGAGCTATTTCCACACATGATAGGATTCAGTCCTGCACTATCTACGCAGGACGCCAATCTCCTTATCAAAAGACAAATTAGTGACAACACCACCAGGGACACTATAGAGGCATATTAGCTCTAGACATGTCCAAAGCTTTCGATAGTATCTCGTATAAGTCTGTGCTTGAGGTGATTTCTGACATGGGTCTTGAACAGCGTTTCCACGCCTACGTTAGCTTCTTTCTCAGGAATCACAGGGCCACTATGAAGATCGGTGAAATTAAATCCTCGGAATTTATTTTGGAAGCGAGAGAGACCCCACAGGGGGCAGTTATCTCTCCTCTGCTTTTCAATGTTGCTATGAAAGGCCTATCAGAACGCCTCGCTACGGTGGCGGGCTTAACCATGCTCTCTACGCGGATGATATCACCGTGTGGTGCATGGGAGGCTCCGACGGCTGGGTAGAGCAGGCCCTTCAAATGGCACTAACCATAATAGAGAACTTTTTGTTGGTTCGAGCTAGAGTCTGTCATCGGCCAAATCTGAGCTGTTACTCTACAGACACACCCGAAAGGTATGAGGAACGTGACTCCTTTAGAGAAGATTCAGATAGCATTATACACATGGGATGGGCAGAAAATTCCAAGGGTGGACTCAATCAGGGTTTTCGGGCTCCGCCTGGAGTCTAAAGGTGGCATTTCACGGACTGTAGCCCGCATCACCTCCAAGACGAAGAACGTGCTTAGGCTCATACTCAGGGTCTCGAATGGCAGAGGTGGGCTGAGCGAGAACAATCTCATTCGACTGTACTTCTTATGAGTCACATTAATTATGTTGCTTAGGCGTTGACCTGGTCCAAAAGGGAAGAGGCAAAAATTGACATGCTAATACGCAAAAGCATTAAGAGAGTTCTATGCCTCCCTTTGCACACAAGCACCGAGAGACTTTTTCAACTGGGCATGCACAACTCCCTCGCGGAGGTAATCGAGGCCCAGAAGATGGCTCATGTTATGCGACCATCGTCATCGCGGGCTGGTAGGCGCATCTTGGCATCCACAGGCTGCGGTACTACGGCAATTAACGAGCGTGAAGTGACTCTACCACCCTCAATCAGAGGTACGTTTGCGGTACCTCCACTTCCTAGAAATTTCCACCCACAATACAATGTAGGGCGCCGCATAGCTCGGGCACGTTCTTTATTGAAGGCGGTTGCACAGAGTCCGAATCTTGCGACATTTGTCGATGCAGCACAATACGGGCGTTCTGACTGCTTTGCCGTGGTTTCAGTCAATCACAGTGGCACTCTGCTGTGCTCTGCTTCAGTTAGGCAGGTTTCGGCGACGGTGGCTGAGCAAATTGCCATCGCCATAGCAATGAAGCACCCATCTTGTCCAAATGTATTTACAGACTCGCGTTCTGCAGCTATAGGGCTTTCGCCTCGGGTTCGATCTCGCGGGAGGCAGCGGCCAGCCTCGGCTTCGAGGGAGCTGCCGGATTTCACCACATAACATGGTTCCCGGCCCACATGGGGACCAACTTGATGTCCCCAACGCCAATGAGTTTGCCCATGACCGTGCGCGGGGTAGCGCTCACCGCGGCGGTTCCGGTGAAATCGCGGGCGGAGACGCCACAAGGTAGAACTCGCTACTCACTTTCCATGAGGTCATGATGAATTAGCATCTCTCTCGGAGGGCTTTTCCACTTCCTCATCCTAAGCTTACTCGACCGCAATGGTCAGCATGCTCCAAACGGGGTCTTTCTCTTCACGGAAAAGTTCAGTCATTTCTCGCCCACCGTAGAACCGCATTGTCCGGACTGCGGAGAGGCGTATATTGCTCATTACCTCACATGCTCTGGCAATGTCCTGCGTTACACGACGCCGAGTTTAACAAAGGAGAAGACTGGAAGGAAACCCTAAACAGCGGGGACCTCTCGGTTCAACTTCGGGCTGTCCAGAGGGCCTGCGAGAGGGCGGAGGGCTATGGTCTTCTGGTTCCTACGAGGGAGCGGCCCGCGATTGCTACGGATTCCCCTTAAAGGGGCGTCACAACGCAGTTCCTCAAGACTACAATAAAATTCTCTGTCTGTCTGTCTGAACCCCAGGTGGTCAAAATTTCTGGAGCCCTCCACTACGGCGTCTCTCATGATCATATGGTGGTTTTGGGACGTTAAACCCCACATATCAATCATCATGTCTGTCTGTCTGTCTGTCTGTCTGTCTGTCTGTCTGTCTGTCTGTCTGTCTGTCTGTCTGTCTGTCTGTCTGTCTGTCTGTCTCCCCATTACGATTCCTGTGCGTGCTAGCGTGGGGACTGGGTAATGTTAACAGACTGTGGAGCGTGGTGGCCGCATGTGACGGAACGTTGTAGCAACATAGCGTATCTGATACAGAGGCCGCTCTTGATTTATGTCAGCTATTACCCAATAAAATACTGCCTACCTTGGGGTGACATGGTTGTCAACCACTGCAATATGTAAATCTGCAGTGTACCACAGCAGCATATTCGCCCAACAGCAAAAGGTTGCGGGACGCGAAAAATGTTCGGCAAAAGTTATATTGCCACTTTGCCTGCGAATGTAACCTACAAACATATTTTTCAGCAATGAACGCCCCTGTGAACGTATGTACTATCACCCACCATACCGCTGTGCGTGCGGTCATTATCGACGTTACTTCTTGAAACGATGGTGACTGGGCTGACTACCAATCGCTCTTTGTTTGACAAGCATACTAAACGAAGCCGTATTGGATCTCTTATCCTTCGTACCTGTGTCTTGTCTGATGCAAACGTCTTAGTCGCTGTTCAGGTGGTCGGTCGGTCGGTTGGTTGGCTGGTTGGTCCTCAGGTGGTGGAGTAAATCCAGCAAAATTGCAAGGGGGTACGTGACATAAATCAGACCATGATACCCATCTTGATTTTTTAATGATGGGGAGAGATAGAGAGAAACCGTTTTTTTTTAATGAAGGCTTGTGAGTGAAGGTGGGAGGGTCTCTTATTCCAAGAATTATCTGGCCTAGACTGCCCACCGAATTCAAGCGACGTGTTGACGCTAGTCGACCAGGTCCGGCTGGGAGATCGCAGTTTCTCACGCACCACTGAGAAGGTTTGGGTACGCATCTGTTGCTGCTGCTTGTGTTTTATTTTTATTTACATGAAAATTGAACA